CGGCCTACCCAGACCCCTTCCATCTTCAAGAACCATCTCCATGCCCACCTCTCACCCCCTCGACCTGATAGGCTCCCTCCCTTTAGCCCCATTGCATTGTTTGCCCCCCCCTTTTAAAGATTATTTATTTATTTGAGAGAGACTGGGGGACCAGAGAGAGAGAGCACACAAGCAGGGGGATGGGCAGAGGGAGACACAGACCCTGCTGAACAGGGATCTCGAGGCAGGGCTTGATCCCAGGACCCTGGGATCATGACCTGAGCCTAGGACGCTTAACCAACTGAGCCACCCAGGTGTCCCTGCATTGTTTTTCTTGACTTCTGACATCTAGTGTCCTTTTAAAACCTGTATTTGTCTTATCCTTCCCTTATGCCCAGAGAGCAACCTGCATAAAGACTGCATGTTGTCCACATACCAGATTATTGCATAAGTATCTGCTGAACATTTTTTTAATCAACTTTTTGTTTTAAGACAATTTTAAATGTAAAAAAAAGGTTGCAAAGATAATATAGAGAATTCCTGTATACCTTACACCTAATTTCCCCTATTATCAACATCTTACATTGGTATGGTACATTTGCTACAATTAATGAGTCATATTGATACATTACTATTAACTACAATCCACACCTTATTAAGATTTCCCTAATTTCTTCCTAATGTCTTTTTTTCTATTTCAGGATCCTTTCTAGGATACTATATTACATTACATTTAGTGGTCATGTGGCAGTTTCTCAGAATTTCCCTTTTTTTTTTTAATTATAAAACTTATTCTTTTAAAGTGTACAATTCAGTGATAGTATAGTCACAATGTGTAACCATTAGCACTATCTAATGCACATTTTATCACCCCCCCAAAAGCAAATTATGTACCTGTTAGCACTCACACCCCATTCCTTCTTCCTCTCCACCTCTGGCAGCCATTAATCTACCTTGTCTTTATGGATTTCCCTATTTGGCCATCTCATACAATTGAAATCACAGAATATGTGGCCTTTTGTGCCTGGCTTCTTTCATTTAGCATAATGTTTTCAAGTTTGTTCACATTGTAGCATGAATTAGTACTTCATTCTTTTCTTACGGCTGGATAATATTCCATTGTGTGGCTATACCACATTTTGTTTATCCATTCATTAACTGTTGGATATTTGGGTTGTTCCATTTTTTTATCTATTATGAATAGTGTTTCTATGAATATTTGTGTACAAGTGTTTGTGTAAACATATGCTTTCAGTTCTCTTAGGTATATGTATAAAAGTGGAATTGCTAGGTCATAGGGTAAATCTATACTTAACTTTTTGAGAAATTGACAAATTTTTTTTCCAAAATGATTGCACCATTTACATTCCTACCAGCAATGTTGTGAACGTTCTGATTATTCTGCATCCTCATCAACACTTGTTCTTGTCTGTCTTTTGTTCATAACCACCCTAGTGGGTATGAAGTGGTATTTCATTGTGGTTTTGGTTTGCGTTTCTGTAATAACTAAAGATATTGAGCATCTTTTTATGTGCTTATGGCCAATTTTATATCTTCCTTGGAATAATATCTATTCATACTCTTTGCCCATTTAAAAATTTGATCATGCTTGATTTGAACATGCTTAATAGAATGAACACCAGGCTGGAAGAAGCAGAGAAATGAATTAATGGCTAGAAGACAGAGTAATGGAAAGTAACCAAGTTGAAAAAAGAGAAAAAAGAATTATGAAAAACAAGAACAGACTTGGGGAACCCAGTGACTCCATCAAATGTAATAACATTCATATTTTAGAAGTCCCAGAAGAAGAGAAAAAAAAGAGGACAGATAATTTATTTGAAGAAATAATAGTTGCAAACTTCCCAAATCTGGGGAAGGAAACAGATATCTGGATCCAGGAATCACTGAGAACTCTGAAGAAAATCAACAAAAGCAGATCCACACAAGACATATTGTAATTAAAATGGCAAGATATTCTGATAAAGAAAAAATGTTAATAGCAGCAAGACAAAAGAAGACAGTTATATACAAAGGAAACCCCATAAGGTTATGAGCAAATTTTTCAGCAAAAACTTTCCAAGCCAAAAATGAGGTATGATATATTCAAAGTGCTGAATGCAAAAAACCAGCAGCCAAGAATATTCTATCCAGCAAGGCTATCATTCAGAATGGGAGGAGAGATAAACAGTTTCACAAACAAACAAAAACTAAAGGAGTTCAACCACTAAACTAGCCCTGCAAAAAATATTAAAGGGGACTGTGAGAGGAAAGTAAAGATAAAAAATGACAGTCCGAAAGTAGGAAACACAAAAGCAGTAAAAATGAATATTTCTTTTTTTTTTAAGATTTTATTTATTTGACACACACAGAGAGAGATATCACGAGTAGGCAGAGAGGCAGGCAGAGAGAGAGGGGGAAGCAGGCTCACTCCTGAGCAGAGAGCCTGATGTGGGGCTCGATCCCAGGACCCCGAGATCATGACCTGAGCTGAAGACAAAGGCTTTAACCCACTGAGCAACCCAGGTACCCATCTTCTAATCTTAGTGGGTCATGATTCCTTATCTCAGCAACTTGAAAAGGCTTTGCTTCCAGCCTCAAGACTTCCATACTATGATGCTCACCTTTTGGTATTCATAACACTATATGGTCTCCTCTCATTGAGAGTAGGCTGAACCTTGTGACTTGCTTCTAAAGAACAGAACACATCAAACTGATGGAATGGCAGTTCTAATATTAGGTAAATGACTAACTTCTGTCTTGCACACTTTCTCTTCCTTCCTTACCTGTTCACTCTGACAAAGCCTACTGATACACTGTAAGCTACTGAGGCACAGGCTCATATAGCAGAGAACTGAAGAAGGCTTTGGGCCAATTGCTTATGAGGGGCTGAGGCCTTACTCCAACAGTCTATGAGGAACTTAATCCTGCCAACAACCACTTGAGTCATACTGAAAGCAGATGAAAACCCACTTGAGCCTTCAGATGACTCTACCCTGCGTTGACACATTGGCTGAAATCTTTTTGAGAGACCAGGAATTAGAACAGATTCAATCTAAGCTGCACGCAGATGCCTGATGCACAGGAACTATAAGACAATAAATGTTACTTACTCTTTTAAGTCACTGTTTTGGGGTAATTTGTTTCACAGCAATAGATTAACTAATACAGTTAGGAGTATTCCCCTCCTCACTTCCCACCACTCTACTCCCATGTGTCTTCAAGTCTCAGATTTATTTACTAATTTATTTATTATTTTTTAAGCATGGAGCCCAAATGCGCAGCTTGAAGTCACAACCCTGATATCAGGACCTGAGCTGAGACTGAGTCAGATACTTAATCAACTGAGCCACCCTGGTGCCCCCTATTATTTTTTTAATTTTTTAAAAACATATATTTTTTTTTAAGTAATTGCTACAACCAGCATGGGGCTCGAACTCACAACCCTGAGATTAAGAGTCAAAGGTTCCACCAACTGAGCCAGCCAGGCGCCCCTCAAGTCTCAAATTTAAATGTCACTTCCTGCGGGGTAAGCTCTCTTCCCCTGCCCATCCTGTACCAGCAAATCTCTGGTTTCACACTCTTGGTATTCTCTCCTCTTATGCAGACTTCATCACCCCTGCAATTAGTTCATTGTCACGATATTTGTTTCCTGTCTGTCACTCTCTAAGACTTGTCAGTTCCCAGAGCTGGCTATAGTTTTTCTACACTGAATTCCTAACATCAAACATGGTGCCCACCATAGAGTGGGGATATATTAAACTATAGAATGAAAAAAATGAACAAACAAATGAAGGAATTAGTAAATGAAGTATCCCAAGACCTCGCCATTCAGAAAGGAAGTAGGAAAAAGCCCAGTGTCCTGGTAAAGATGGTTACAAAAGTCTCATAATTCTCGGGCTTTATTTTTAAATATCAAAAAATGAAAACAAAAACAAAAAATAAAACCATGTCAACATATTCTAGATTTAAATTTGTTATGACAGAGTGCATTATAACCAAATTCTCTACATAAATTAAAAGATGAGAACTTTGAAGTTTTTTTTTTTTTTTTTTTTTTTTAAGATTCATTTATTTGAGAGAGAGACAGAGAGCACAAGCAGGGGGAGCAGCAGGCAGAGGGAGAAGCAGACTCCCTGTGGAACAGGGAGCCCGATATGGGACTGAACCCCAGCAACTTGGGATAACGAACTGAGCCACAGACAGCCATTTAACTGACAAAGCCACCAAGGCACCCCTCTTAGTGACTCTTAGTCATCACCACCTGCCAAATAACATCCAGCTCAGTCCCTAGTGGGACAGTCAGCTGTCTTTTCTAGCCTGCTCCTTAAACGCTCCCTCCGCAGGTACCATGATCTTGCCTTTCCTCAAGCAAATTTTTTCATCTCTGGGACTTTGCACGTGTTCTCCTCTGACTGGAATTCTCCCTTTAGTGCCATCCAATCCCCCCAAAGCCAAATTCAAGTTTGAACGCTCCCGGTCCCCCTAGAAGTGCTTGCTCTTCTGCTCTGTCCTCTTAGGGCACTTGGTTTTTACCTCTTTTATGGCCTCTAACATATTCAATATTGTCTTGTGAGCAGGTGTGTGTTTTGTTTATCTTCTCTACTACCCACATAGGAAGATATGGTCTCTGTCTTGGTGACCCCCTTTCCCTACATAACCGAGCACATGGCTTTGGATGGAGCAAAGGCTTAATACATGTTTGTCGTTAAATGAGTAAATGAAAGAATAAATAAAACATATGTGCTAAGGGGCACCCGGGTGGCTCAGTGGGTTAAAGCCTCTGCCTTCGGCTCAGGTCATGATCCCAGGGTCCTGGGATTGAGCTCCGCATCGGGCTCTCTGCTCAGCAGGAAGCCTGCTTCTCCCTCTCCCATTCCCCCTGTTTGTGCTCCCTCTCTCACTACGTCTCTCTCTGTCAAATTAAAAAAAAAAAATCTTTAAATGAATCAGATATACTTTATATCTCAATGTCAATAATAATAAAGCCACAGAAAAAGATTTCATTTTAAAAATATTTTAATTTCCTTTTTTATAAAATTTAGTTTTCGAATGTCCCAAACATCACCTCTCATATAGTAAAAATGAATGTAGGAACAAATAAACACAGAATGTTTCTTTACTAGTCCACTAGAATACTGGCTAAATGTCCTAATGTTACTCTAAACAGTCACACAGAAGCCAAGGAAGTAAATAAATAACACAGCAAACTAGTAAATATAGGAAAATGAGCTTTTCAAGAGGTTTCTGAGATTGTCTACTACTGAACTTTTAACAAAATAATTTGAACAATTAAAATTGTTTAATAATAATAAATATTAGTCCTATATAAAGTGATTAAATCAAAGTAGTTTACTTCAAATATGGGGACTGAATTACAGAAATGGAAGGTACCCGATCATTTAGGGAATGCTGTTTGAGACGACCGTGTTCTCAGAACTATGTTCAGTGTATCCTGGATCTTCATGTTATTTCTTTCTATCAGGGAAGAATGTTTCCCATCTGCTTTCGTGTTTTCTTCTGGTTCAAGGGGGAGAAGGGTATGGGGGTTGAACAGACATCGAGGCTCCCCCAAGATGCCAACTCTGTGAAAAGAATTATTGGTATAACTGAAGCGGTGAGACCAATGAATAAGGTGTATGGTTATGGTTGTGCCTGCGTGTGTGTGTTTGTGTGTATACACCAAAGCTACACACACACACACCCATATATATACATACACATATACATATACATATACATATACATATACACATAAATATATTTTTAAAGTTTTCCCCATTTCCATGAACCCCCATTGTGGTCTAAAGTATGAGTCCAAAATTTCAGCCCACAGTAAGATTTTGTAACTGGCCTTCCGACATTTCCCAGAGACGGTTCTTCTAATGAAGAAACCTCAGCCTTGTAAAGTCGGCTACCCCTTCCTCCGAATTAGAGCTATTTGAAGTCTAGCATAACTTTCTAGCAATGTTTTCTAGTCTATCTGGGTGTACCAAGAGTTGCTTGGGAAAGGAAATAGGTGGAGAGGTGGAGGGGTGGGTAAGAAGCCGGCTTTCATCTTTGTTCAACTTTCTGGACAAGGCATGGTGTCTGCCTTCTGGCCCAACCTAGGACATGCTGAGTCTCTCCTTTCCCTCTCCTTGAGCCACTTACGTTGGCATAGGCACAGACTCCAGATTTTCCATGTGCTCTTGTATCTGGGCTGGGAGTTTGATGCCTCCTTGATGATTCTTTTTCTCAAAGACATTCTGAGCTTTTTCTCTGAGAGATGGCAGCAGAGTAGACAGGACCGGAGAGCGCATGTTAATGGCTTTTTTAATCGCTGGACGTTTTGCCATCATTCTCCTGGGGGTAGGGGTGGGAGAGGAGACATTTAGGTTATATCATCCTGTTTCTAGAAATGTCCCTGAGCTTTGGGAAGTCACAAGGTCGTACCTGAATTGTACAAAAGTCATGCGTTTCTTTCCCCCTCCTGATTTTTCATCCTCGCGCTTCCTCCGAGGAATGTTGAACATATTGGTACGAAAGAGCCTCCCTATTTCTTCCTCAATCTCTGTGAAGTGTTGACGTCGGAAGACAATCCAAGCTACGTATGTACAGAAAGTATAAAAGGACTACAACAGAAAACAGACAAGAATCACTACCCACGGTGAAGACAGTAAAACTCCCACCTGTCTATGTAACATTGCTAAGCAGACGCAAACCCAGATGACCCCATTTCTCCGCATTCCTGAAAAGCTGTGGAAAATACACAGGTACTCACCTTTGCAGGAGGAAAACGAGACCAAAAATTTAAGATATAGCATACAGCTTGTTAGCATCCTTTTAAGAAAAGATATTCACTAAAAATAAGTGCCTGACAAATGGCTATTGGTTATTCATGGTTCATAGAAAGAGAAAAGTCCCAAAACATAAGTGACTCACCTCAAAGAATTTCCAGTCTTTTTGTGTATCTGATATTTTCTCCCTGCAATACAACAAATCACAACTATAGGTTGAGAAGGAAGCTCAGTCTTTCAGTGATCTAGGCAAGCCCCTATCTTCAAAGACCTCTTGGCAAGACCATTACCGTGGCCCCAAGGCTATTTAGCTACATAAATGCTGTCCAAAGGCATTGTGAGTCCCAACATCTTTTTCTTCAATTTCTTAGGTTATCCAGATCAAAACCCTTACCATGTTCGGTCAAAAGTTAATCAATATAAATTCAGGGGATGCCTGGGTAGCTCAGTGGGTTAAAGCCTCTGCCTTCGGCTCAGGTCATGATCCTAGCATCCTGGGATCGAGCCCCACATCGGGCTCTCTGCTCTGCAGGGAGCCTGCTTCCCCCTCAATCTCTGCCTGCCTCTCTGCCTACTTGTGATCTCTGTCTGTCAAATAAATAAATAAAATCTTTAAAAAATATATATATATATATATATATATATATGAATTCAGGATACACAAGCCAGCAGGAAATGTATTCTTATGAATGTTTTTGGTGATGTGAGAGCTGGGGAGAAAGGAGAGTGGGAAGGTGGTAAAGAGGTAACATGGGGTGTTAATCAGTAGGGAAACAGAACGAAGGGGAAGTCTAAAGCAGAGAAAAAGACAAAAATCAAACATCTTAATCCTAAAAAGATTTAAAAGATCTTAAAATCTGCAGTTGACTGGAGAAGGTACTAGATGCAATACATACGCTGAGCCACAGCTCTTAAAGGCAGGCATCTGCTCAGGAATCCTTGCAACACAAATTCAATGTTAAGGACACTGGACCGGCACAGGCACACTTACTGAACTTGGCCTCCACCTCCCCAACAGAGGCCATTCTAGTTCTGATCCCGGCCTGAGGAGAGCAGGCATGGCCTGCAGAGGACCTGAGAACTGATGGAAAAGGCTGTGCACCTGCAATCACTTGATCACTCAAGGGGCCAAGGCTAGACCCAGGCACTGCCAGGCTGATCCTGGACTTGCTTCTGGTTTTGCTTGGGACGACTCCCAGGACTGGCCCTTGCTATCAGGCTTTCAAGAACCTCCTGAACTCCAGTGGTCTGCGGAAGATGACCTAAACCCTCAGGGACTTCGTGATCTGTGTGGGCCCAAATTAGCCCTCCGTTCGGGGGACACACGGAAGCACTGGTTCAGTTTTTACTGGGGAGGATCCCTCTCCTCCTGCAGCCCCTGCATTCCTACACCGGTTTCCTCGTGCGCAAGTCTTCAACCAGGAAGTCAGGCCATCAGTACAGTGCGCATTTACTAAGTACGGACCATGTGCCAATACTGTGCTAAGCCCTTTACATGATCATATTTAGTCCTCCTAAGATCTCTATGATGTAGTCAGCATTATTATTCCCACTTTACAGCTGAAGAGACCAAAGCCCAAAGACATATGTAATTAGGGACAGAGTCTGTACCAAAACTCGGGCCTGTCAGCTCTCCACATCTGTCACTGTAACCAGAACTCTAGGGAAACAAGCTTTTCCTCTAGATGAGTCTGTGGATTGAACACACTCAACTACGGAGCCAGCAGAAGCTTTCAGGACAGGCCTCTGCGTCCTTCTGTCCTTCTGCGCCACCTGCAGCCTCCACCCGACAGGAGTGCTTATGTGCCCTTTCCACCCTTCCACGGCCTCTGCCAGTGGACACCGGACACCATGCAGACCTGCCAAGCTGAAGCAAATACCAACCAAACTCGGTTTTGGGAAGACTAAGCCAGCCTGCCTTCTGGGAGAAGACGGAGAGTAGCACTTAGGTTTCTGCAACTCAAACTGGCACCATGTCAGCGAGGTTTTGAAATGACAGAGGGCGCAGGAAACACGCACTTTCTCCTCTTTTTCTTTCTCCTTTTTTTCTTTAAGATTTTATTTATTTATTTGAGAGAGAGAAAGAGAGAATGAATGGTGGGGAGGGATAGAGGGAGAGGGAGAAGCAGGATCTCTGCAGAGCAGGGAGCCTGATATGGGGCTGGATTCCAGGATCCTGGGATCATGACCTGAGCCGAAATCAAGAGTCGGATACTAAATTGACTGAGCCACACAGGTGCCCCCCCCTTCTTTCTTTTTTTTTTTTTTTAAGTTTTATTTACAGAATCTCTATACCTAACGTAGGGCTTCAACTCATGACCCCGAGATCAAGAGTCACACGCTCTTCCAACTGAGCCAGCCAGGCATCTCCCGTCTCATTTTAAAGATTTTTTTTTTTTTTAATTTATTTGACAGATCACAAGTAGGCAGAGAGAGAGAGGAGGAGGAGGCAGGCTCCCTGCTGAGCAGAGAGCCCGATGCGGGACTCGATCCCAGGATCCTGAGATCATGACCTGAGCCGAAGGCAGAGGCTTTAACCACTGAGCCACCTGGGCGGAGAAGGTACTATGAACCTCTTCCCCTTCCCCTCAAGTTGCCATAAAACTGGGACTTCTTTCTCCCTTAAAGCCCAAAGCAAACTGATGGAGCCTACCGACAGAAATCAAGTACAGAAACAGGTTTCTTCTTACCATTCTGATTTAACTCCATATATAAACCTGAAATGAGCCCAAGAAATGGAGGCAGAGAAAGCACATTTGGGAACATCCTAGCTTAAATCAGCAAATTCATCTCTGGGTGACTTTTGGGTCAATTTTTCTTCTTTTTAATTTTACTTTATAATTTTTATATTAAGTACCTAATAATTATAAACTGACTATAAATTTTAAAATTTACTGAGCAAAATAACAAATTTAAACACTTCAAATCTTCTGCAAATTGAGTGAGACTTTATACAATAGCAAAATCCAATAGAAATATAATGCAAGCAGGGGCACCTGGGTGGCTTAGTTGTTAAGCATCTGCCTTTGGCTCAGGTCATGATCCCAGGGTCCTGGGATCAAGGCCCACACTGGGGAATCCCTGCTTAGCAGGAGGCCTGCTTCTCCCTCTCCCACCCCCCCCCCACTTGTGTTCCCTCTCTCGCTGTGTCTCTGTCAAATAAATAAGTTTGTTGTTTTTTTTTTTAAAAGAGATATAATGCAAGCCACAAATGTAATTTTAAAATTTCTAGTGGCCACGGTAAAAAGAACAGGTGAAATTAATTTTAATAATATACTTATTGTATGCAAACCCTGAAATATTAATATGTAATCAGCATTTTAGAATGATCAATGAGATATTTTGTTCAATTGTAACTTGTTTGTAAAGTGTATATTTTACATTTATAACACATTTAAATATGGACCAGCTACATTCCAAGTGCTCAACAGACACATGCAGCAAGCGGCTACCATGCTAATGCTAGTCAGCAAAAATGCTGTCCATTTTACCTGTGAGGACAAACTCTGAAGAAAAGGGGAGAAAGCCAGCCTGGCAGAAAACGCAGAGGTGTTCAGTGGCCTGTTATGATGCTTTCTTATTCCTTCTTGCTACCTTAAGACTCTCAGCTCTAAACTACAATGAGGAAAGTAACATATTTTTAGTCATTCCTGGGGGGGGGTGCGGGGAAGCTAGGCCAATGGCATCTCGAGGCCCTAAAGAAAAAAAAGTTTGTTCCCACTTACCCCCTGCTGCTTTTGGTGGTGGTGGGGGGGGAATCCAGTTTAAATGAAGGTCAAGGCCTACTCCGCACAAAGGAACAGAATATCAAAGGAATTTGTTTGGGGGAGGGGAAAGAGGCCTTACTGAACTGTGACTTGGAGGGTGGGGTGGGGAGTGGGGCTTAAGGATGATTTATAAACCCGAGCTTCAAAATATGCTCATCCCTATGCCAGACTCTCTGGTCATCCACCAGGCGACAGCTTGCACTGAGAGCAAAGGAAGAGGTAGAAATCCTAAGACAGAGGTGGGGTTGGAGCCATAAACAAAGAATAGATCTAATTCTACAGCGTATGCCATGAAGAGGTTTTCTTATCTATCCTGGCAAACACAGAGATCTTTTACTGAACACATTCATCAAAATCGTGCCAAAGCTTTTGCATTATCAGGATTTTACAGATGTATTTAGAATAGAAAAGCATGTCCTCCTACTTTTCGAGAAACATGAAAGCACTAAATTAACAGCCCCCAAATTGCTGGTTCTTCTGAAATATCTAATTTAACTCCGGAGACAAATAGCGTAAGGTGTCCTTGTCCAATATTAAGTATGTATATATCAAAAAGTCAGAAAATACACGAGAATTTTCTCAGGGGAATATTAGCTTATTCACACTAGAAGTGAAAGAATGATGTATTAAAATCAGGTAATCACTCCTAACTAGCAAAATAAACTGTCCTCACCTTCTAGATAAAAACAGCCAGAAGAACAATATAAACTCCATTCTAGGACATAATCAAGGCCCATGGCCAATTAACAACTTTTATTGGCAAAAAACATGCTGTAATCTGTTTTCCTTGATATCCTTTGTTGGGCTCAATGACCTGTATGGAATTTGTTCTGTGAGTAATGGGTGGTGAACTCTAAACTGATGCTTTTCTAAACTGCGATCCAATAGGCAGGAGAAAAGCAGGTGATGTTGCACACAACCACAAAAAAGACCAGCACCTCCTGGAGAGGAGCCAGTACTAAACCCAGGCAATTCATATCTTTCAAGCATAATGAGTTCTTTAAAAGTCTGTATAAAAATTACATTGTACCCAGGGGGGAAAAAAAAATATATATATATATATGTTTATAAAAAATAAAATTATAAAAAAAAAATTACATTGTAATAAAAATGTACTGTTAAAAGTATAATAATTTAAGTGTAGGCTCTATATCCAGAGAACTAAAAGATAAAATAAAATCTCTAACTATGATATTATTGTTCAGTTTGGGTTTTTTAGTCTCAAAATTAGTCTGTGCTGCACACGTGCTTTTATTTTTAATGTTTTTAAAGATTGATTTATTTATTTGTTTGTTTGAAAGAAAGAGTATGCACACATGAGTGGGAGGAAGGCACAGAGAGAGGGGGGAGAATTTTAAGCAGACTCCCCGCTGAGCCCAAGGCACTAAATCCCACAGACCCTAGATCATGACCTGAGCCAAAATCAAGAGTCCAACGACACTTGACCAGCAGAGTCACCCAGGTGTCCCTGCACACAGGCGTTTAAAGATTAAACATTAAGGGGCACCTGGCTGGTTCAGTTGGTAGAGCACGCACTCCTGGTAGCAGGGTTGTGAGTTTGAGCCCCACACTGGGTGTAAAGATTATTTAAAAATCTTTAAAAATTAAACATTAAATATTGCCAATACAATTATTTTTTTAGAGTAGGTCTTTTTCTGTTTTGTGTTTTTTTAGAGTAGGTTTTTTTCATTTTTAAATAAAGGTTCTACTTATTTATTTGAGAGAGAGAGCGTAAGAAAGCAAGAGAACAGGAGCAGTGGGGAGGGGTGGAGGGAGAGGGAGAAGGCGGCTCTCTGCTGAGCAGGGAGCCCAACACGGGACTCAGTCCCAGGACTCTGGGATCATGATCTGAGCTGAAGGCAGCTGCTTAACCAACGGGGGCCACCCAGGACCCCTACAGTGTGTTTTTTTAACCTTGCTGTGGACTGAATGTTTGTGTCTCCCTAGCCCCACCCCAAGTTCATATGTTGAAGCCTTAAAAACCACTATCATGGTAACATTTGGAGGTGGGGCCTTTGGGGGGGGCAATTAGGTTCAGATGAAGTCCTGAAAGTGGAGCCCTGTGATGGGATTAGTGTCCTTTTAAGAACAGAAAAAGAGATTGGGATTTTCTCTTTCATTCATGGAGAGACTCAGTGAGAAGGCAGCTGTCTACAAGCTCGGAAAAGGGCTCTCACCAGAACTGGACAATGCTGGCCTCCTGATCTCAGACGTCCAGGCTTCAAGACTATGAGAAAATAAAATTCTGCTGTTTAAGCCATTCAAGCCATTCAGGCTGTGGTAATTTGTTACAGCAGCCCAAGCTGACTAATTCAAACCTCAAATTCTAGTTTTTTCAATCTAAAGTGATACTTAGAAGAAATCAGAGTAATGTGAGAAAAATTTTTTTAATAGGGGAAGGGCAAGGGCAGAGGGAGAGAGAGAATCCCAAGCAGGCTCCATACCCAGCATGGAACCCAACCTGGGGCTGGATCTCACTACCCTGAGATCATGACCTGAGCCAAAATCAAGGTTAGGGCACTTAACTGACCAAGCCACCTAAGCACCCCTGAGAAAATGTAATTTTAAAGTGATTGAATAAGAAAATGTGAAGCTGATGATGAACTTGCATGTTATTGAACAGCATCAGAAACAAGGTAGAAATAGTCAAATTAACAAAGATTTTTAATATTTTCATAAAGTGTAAAAACATAAACATCAAAGGCAAGCAACAAACTAGAAAAACAAATGGCCAAGCTTTGTTATAGGACACATAAATTACACAAATACCCACTTTCCAGTTGATAGATGGTTAAAACTAAATGAGGCAGTAATTAATTTAACAATTAATAGTAATAGTAACAGGCAATAAATTATTTTATACAGAAAAATAGCACAGACCCCACAGTCATGAAAGATATTCAAAGTCAAATAAAGTATCTTTAAGCTTTTTCCTTTTTCTTTTTTTTTTTTTAAACTTTAAGCTATCAAAAATGTTAAACTAATAGAGCTAGGTGTGCTTATTGCTGATGGTGGTACAAAATGTTCTATACTCTTTGGAGAACAATCTGGCAGTATGCAACAAGAGCTAGAAAACTATTGATGCCTTCTAGGTAAATACATTCTGGGTTATAAGCCATAAGTAAAGAGCCCAAATAGACAAAGTAATTTATATGAAGATATCCGACGCAGAAACACCATAAAGCAGAAAAACTGAAATCACATAAGTTTGCACATAAGGAATGGTGAGGCAAACTGGTATGTCACACAGCAGAACACCTATAGTTGCTATTCAAAGTTGTAGGTGAGGTTCTGTAAGCAGAGTAACAGAATGAGGTACACAGAAAATGTAGAACATAATCTGTATTTTGAAAATGTGGGAATGCAGAGAGAAACCATGAATTCTGTTCTTTCCTATAAAGTTAAAAGTAAGAGTTCTAGCCATGGCCATGGTGTGGCTCTTGAGCCTGTTTTAAAAACCACTCAGAGAAGGGAATTGGGGAGGGGGCATTAAGGATCAGAGCTTTTTCTTGATGCCTCCAAATTCTCCTGTGATATGACTTTTTTTTTTTTTAAGATTTTATTTTTTAAGTAATCTCTACACCCAATGTGGGGCTTGAACTCACAACTCCAAGATCAAGATGTGCATGCTGTACTGACTGAGCCAGCCCAGTGTCCCACGAGATACTTAAATTTTAATTACAGTAATACATAAACTGTCAGTCTAAGGAAAAAATCATCTCCCCACAAACAAGGTCATCTTCTCTAATCCCCACCCTCCTAGCTTGTACCCATGGCTATCTATCGTTGCTGTAAAATGAGCAGCGGGAGGGCAGGAGACACACCCAGTGCCACCTTCAAAACCGGCCTACACCAGGCCTTCTGCCCCTGGCAGCCATGGGGCCCTGGTCAGCAACTGGAAGTCTTCCAGGTTGAGAGCAAGATGCCACTGAGCAAGTATACACTGTAGACTCTGGGACTCTTCCCAAACTCAGCTTTCCCAAACAAGACGGCACCTGTATTTGGGGCTGAGTGTCACCCGAGCCCAATTATTTTGTACAATCAAAAAGGAAACTTTCTCAAAGGCACCAAGAGTCAAAGTAAAGGGTCTTCCAGAGAGGACCACACAAGCAAGGAAGGATCTCAAAGAACTCGTAAGTGTGCACTTACTTTCCGCAGCACATGTGATGCTTATCAGGCATGGCCAAGCCCAGCACGAGCATGCAGTACTTCTGGGCCAAGTACTTCTGCGCCGCCTCTAATTTACTTATAACCAGTTCCATCTCTTTTTTCTCCACAAGGCCCCTGAGAAAGAAAATGATCATATGGGTTCATTTGGGCCAGAAGTATAAATTATTTTGAAAGAAATACACAAGTGAGTCAATGCATCTCACCTCCCCCTTTCATTTACTTGATTTTGAGCTAAGGGAGGGCCTCCAAGCCCTTTGACATTTATCATTATAATCAGTATCTCGAATTTTTGGTGAATTTTCACTTTTTTATAGATTCTTTATAGTATGTATCCTTAATCTTACATATAGGCCAACCTAATTTATACAGAATAGCTCAACTAACAAATTACCTACACTGGTTTCTGAGGCAGCGAGCAGCCCATTTCCCTGCTGTTTTGTTAAAAGAGCGATGGAAGTTCTCTCCCTCCAGCATCCCCTGGGTTCCTGATGTTGCTACTAAGTTTGAAGGCTCAATGTTCGACCTTCTCAACGCTTTCCTTCTCCCAGTTCTGTGTTTGCTGAGGAAGCATGTGTGGACCACTCCTCTGGGAACTTTGGCATCAATTATAATAACCTTACTTCCCTGTGAAAGCACTTGCCCAGTTCCAACTGAATTGCAAATGAAAATTTCCAAAAGACAACCTGTTCTTACGTTACAGCATGTCTGAAGCCTAAATAAGAGTTTTTGCGGTACAATATAGTAGGAAACTGTATTTCTTTTTTTTTTTAAGATTTTATTTATTATTTGACAGAGACAGAGATCATAAGTAGGCAGAGAGGCAGGCAGAGAGAGAAGGGGAAGCAGGCTCCCCGCTGAGCAGAGAGCCCGATGTGGGGCTCAATCCCAGGACCCCGGGATCATGACCCAAGCCGAAGGCAGAGGCTTTAACCCACTGAGCCACCCAGGCGCCCCGGAAACTATATTTCTAACAATACACTCCAATGATGGCTATTGAAAAGTGAAGTGTCTTAAATAACCTAAAGTTACTTAAGTCCAGATATCTCAATACAGTCTATATTTATTTTATATTTATTTTATTTATATTTATTTATTTTATTATATTTACTTTATAAGTAAACTGACTGACTACTGGAAGCCTGAAAGTGAAATGTTAGTCTAATTATTTTAGAATCCCACCATAGAGCCAATCATTTTAAGGCTTGGATTTTTCTGTCATTCTGTAACTGATTCCTTCTAAGAAAGTCTACCTTACACCACTGTGCTCTAATAGTTTTAGTGTATTTCAAAAACAACTAAGAAACATTTTTCTCTGTTGTCTATTCCTATAAATATAGAAATGAAACAAAGGTCTCTGCTAGATTAGCAGTAACCCTCAGAATTAGAAAACACCACATAAAATATAAGTTCATGTGCTGTCAAAGTCTCATCAGGTCTTTTTCGGGGACGGTAGGACTCCTCAAACCTTCTGAGCCTCCAGCTGGCTAAACCCTTTTGCTTGCCACCATTGAAACAGTTCATGAGGGGCTCCTGTGTGGCTTAGTCGTTAAGCATCTGCCTTTGGCACAGGTCATGATTCCACGGTCCTCGGATTGAGCCCTGGGATCAAGCCCCGCATCCAGCTTCCTACTCAGCCGGAAGCCTGCTTCTCCCTCACCCACTCCCCCGGCTTGTGTTCCGTTTCTCCCTGTGCCTCTGCCAAATAAATAAGTAAAGTTTAAAAAAACAAAAAAACCTCCTCATGATCTCTGGCTGCCCTGCTGTGAAGGCAGCCCTGAAATAATGCGGATGTGGTATATTATGATGGCTTCACTGCAGTAGCAGTGTCTGAATTATTTATCTGGTTCTTTATAAAACTGCTGTCCAGATACATTTATCTAACCATAAAATGTTTTTCGAACTTCTTGGTTGTACATACGGATTTTGCATTTCAAAAACATTCCACAGCAAGGAACTGATGACTCTGACAGCATTTCTAACAGCTAAATCATTGGGTTGGTTCCACATGTACTGGGGAGGGCAGCCTGGGCACTTGGAAAGTTCCATGGATTACAAAAGGTCACCAAGCCTGAGAGGCATTGTTCTGCTCTGAACTCTTGAGTTTCCAGATTCTTGCCCTGTACAGCTCTGAGCCACCTCTGCCTAAAGCAGTTAAATTCTTCCTATGTAGCCTAAGAAATCTTGTTTGCTTCTGTGATATGGAATATCATTTTGGTTGTATCTATAATTTTTTTTTAATTTTTAGTTTTTTTCACTAGATGCTTACAAAGGCCTAGCAAGAATCTCATAAGCATAAAAACCAGAGAACCAATATCTATATCTGCAGTGTCCAATATGACAGCCATGAGCCACATGTGGCTATTGTGCACTAACTGTGGTTAGTCTGAGCTGAGGTACATTGTAAGTGTAATACAGATATCAGATTTCAAAGACATACTACAAAAAAAAAAAAGGTAAAGTATGTCATCAGTAACTTTCTAATATTGACTACATGTTACAATGGCATTTTTGAGTCACTGCATTAAATAAAATACAGTATTAAAATTAAATAAAATGTATTTTATTAAAAATAAAATACATTTACTTTTATCTCTTACATTTTTAAATATAGCTACTGAAAAATTTTAAGTTACATACACGGCTCTCATTATATTTCTACTGGGCAGTGCTGGTCTATAGTATCTGGAATATTCTGTTGCTAGAAAAACACTTGAATTATTCAGTTAGTTTTAAGAACGGATGACCTCCTCCCATATAAGATGTTTTTGTATACCCCAAAACTTTAAATATTTCCATCATTTCTTTACCTTGGTTTTAACACTAGCAATAAAACAACTTTAAAGTGCACTACAAAATCCTACTTACACCATATAGCTTTTGGGTTTCTTCTCCAGGGAGATTTTTTCCAAGTAATGAGATAAATAGTACAACAATGCCATGAGGAAATTGTCAAGATTTTTATTCCTATGGGGATAGTAAAAAAAGAAGAAATGAATGCTAACATATTTATTTTTTCTTCAAATTTTTATTTAAATTCTAGTTAGTTAACATGTAGTATAAGCATATTTCAAACATAAAACTTATCCTAAGAATACATGGGCACACAACAGAAGAATACGCAGAAATACACATTATCACGCCTATCACACAACTAATTCACCATTTAAAATTCTATCCTATATACTACTGAAGATGTAAGAAATCTGATTTTTATGACCAAACGTTTTAGGGGAGGCGGGTCACACACTAAATTACAATTTTGCTTATCAACTAGTTTTAATTTTTAAGAAGTTTTCATTAATAATATTTTCCATTGTTTAAAAAAATGTACACATGTGTAAAGTAAAAAGTCCTCTCACTCCTTTGCTACCATACTCCTATCCTATTTCCAAATGACAGCCACTGCTAAGAGTGGAATGAATCCTTCTTGAACTTTTCAAAGCACAGACCATTACAGATAAAGCCCTCCCCCACCAACATACATACATATGCATGAATATATGCCTTAAAATTTTCTTTGGTAACGAAGAAGATAATGCTAAAGACACAAGTCTTTACAACTTGCTCTTGTCACTTAAACTGCTTAGCATGAACCTCCTTCCACAATACCATGTTTTGATTTTCCTCATTCTTTTAAAAGCTGGATAAAGTATTCTAAATCTCATAATTTATTTAACTAGTCCTCAATATGATGGATATGCAGGTCTTTTAAAAATATTACTGACATTGCTGCAGTAATTATCCTTATGGCCACATCTCTCAGTAACTTCCTAGGAGTGAAATTGCTAGGCATGGTATATATATGGTATACATATGAAATACGCTAGGGCATATTAAAGCTTCACAGTTTTGCTCTAGGAAAAGGTTACACTGATTCATGATCCCATCTCATCTGTTTTAAACCTAGAAGCCTTCTGGGGCGCCTGGGTGGCTCAGTGGGTTAAGCCTCTGCCTTCAGGTCAGGTCATGATCTCAGGGTCTTGGGATCGAGCCCCACATCAGGCTCTCTACTCAGCAGGGAGCCTGCTCCCCCCTACCACCTCTGCCTGCTGCTCTTCCTACTTGTGATCTCTCTCTCTCTGTCAAATAAATAAACAAAATAAAATTTTAAAAAAACCTAGAAGCCTTTGATTTCTTTCTAAACATTACAAGATTTTTGCTGCTTCCTTTCTAGCAAATGCAAATTTGCTAGAATTTGCTAGAATTCGGCACTCTTTCTTCAACTATACCTTGACAACCGGACGAAGATGAACACTGCAGATTTTTGTTCCACAACATTAGTAACTACCTGTCCTGGGTTGGGTTCTCCCAGAAACAGACTCTGAGACAAAGATGTGAGAGTTAAGTAGTTTACTTAGGAAGTGCCCACAGGAAACATCGGCATCAGGGTGGGGAAGCCGGACAAGAAAGGGAAGGAAGCCCACATAGCAAGCAGTGTTAACAAGTTCATTATCCCGGTAAACAGATGCAGTTCAGTCCTGTGGGGGGCTCTGGGAGACAGTGCAGAAAATTTCTCAGAGTTATCCCGACAGAAGGAAGCTGGGATATTTTGGTACCAACTCTCCATCTAGCACAACTCTGACTGAAGACTGCTTCTGGGACACTGACTCGCCAGTGCTCCCAGCTTGCCCTGTAGTCAGGCTGAGTGTGCTCCTGCTGCAGAATAAAGCTTCAGGCCCCACAAGCAGCCTTCGCTGAATGCTAAGGGAATGTGGGAGGGCTGCCAATCTTTGGGTACCCAGTTTTCATTGAGCACTGACAAGTATGGCGCCATGAGAAGCACTTTCCACGTACAGCCGGACAAAGACATAATTACTTCCGATTTTGTATCTGAGGAAACAGGCTTAGAAAGGTCAAGAAGCTCACCCAGAATCATGCACCTAGTACCTGCTCGGGCTCCAAACATGTGAGTGAGTTCACTTCAGTGAGTGAGTATACCCTCTAACCATTACAGAAATATAACATAGTCTTTATGGGACTTCAACAGCGTACTCTCCATACTCGCCCTGGGGCTTTCTTTTGGGCTCCTGTGACTTCTGGCTTTCTGTCTTTGGTCTCATCTCAGAGACTGACTCCTGAGGGCATGGCTGCATAAAGCCAGTCCCATGTCCTTTCTCCAGAATCATATTTGTCATCATTGATCAGTCAGAATTGCTCCAGATTAAAGATAAAAGGTCTAAAATGTCTCACAAGCATTACATACCTCATAAATGTTGTAAAAGAACAGATCCGCTGCATCTCAGTATCTTGCAGCAAAAACAAAGCAACAACTGAAAGGAGAGAAGATGAACAATTCAGAGAGGGACAAAGGGCTGTCACAGAGGTTCAGGATATGTGAAGATGCCGAGACAGTCACTCACATTTAGCATCATGTAGTGTCACGTTGCCCTGCTGACCTCGTTTCTCTAAGGCTTTAGGTGACTTATCCTCTCTTGAAACAAACTTTTTATCTGTCAACCTGTTTTGGAAGAGAACAGTCTCTAATGGTGGTCTGAAAGGTCTCAAGTTGTATTTAATTGATCCTGAGGTACACGAGGCTTTTACTATAAAGGAAGGAGAGCCTGAGTGTCAAAACCCCAAAATGGGTTTTGTTTAATGGAGGAGAATTCTGGAATGCATTTTATTAAACATTACATTTACCAGGAGAGGGGTAGGAGAAATGCACACTACCTGATATAAAATGTAAATACCAATTCCATCCAAAACAGATCATTTAAATCACCTATTACTCATCTGTTTAGACAATCTATTTATGGTGTAGCTACCATTTTCAGATTAAAAAAAAAAAGTAAAAATGTTGAAAATTTGCTATGAGCCAAATTATCACAGGGATATATCTGCAGGGACTACTGTAACATCTCCCACAATGGAAAAACAGTGCATGTTCTTTCCTTAATGGGTATCTATACACCAACCGCCGATAACGGAAATGATATTTTCTTAGAATTTGTGACAACTTGAGCCATTCTGCTGAGAGGAGCTATGAGCAGCGCTTGTGACCGTTGGGAAGACAGTTATACCTGTCTGAAGCGGGACCGTCAGTTTCAGCAAAGTGTATTGCTTTGCCTTTCTTTCCTTTCTCCTTGAGTTCCACTGCAGGTGTAAAACTGTAACAGAAGGGAGAAAATTAGGAATGTAACCTTTCCCCAGGAGGAAGACTGATCCTAGCAGGAAAGTAGCTCATGGAATCTCAGGACTCGCAGATGTTATGAGTGGCGCCTGAAGAGAATCTGAGCCACTGTAGATACTCGATTCACATATTTACATGTGGAACAACCATCTAGAAAAAGATGAACACTTTAGGCTTTATGTTCGGCCTCTACATATAAGCAGCCTCCAGAACACCACCATACACAAAACATTTCCATCCGAAAATGCTGTAGTAGCTTCACAAGAAAACAGAAAGCTCATGAGAAATCTGGAGAGATGGTTTTATTTATTGAACACTTGTTAACACACCAAGTGCTTTTAGGCACAATCTTACTCAATCACAGCGATTCTGTGAGGAAAATACTACTAGTGTGGCCACTTTTACACACGAAGAAACTGAATCTTAGAAAGAGATAAGTAATGTGACGAAGATCACTGAGGTCATGTCGGAGCCAGGATCCGGGTCTGGGATCTCTCACCGCAGAGCCATGCGTGTACCCACCAGGCAGTCCTGCCTCCTGAGCTGCCATCTCAGTCGTCACTGCTCTGGACTTTTTGACTATCTCACTGAAGGTTTCAGGACCCTTTATTTCACTCAGTCAAATAAACAACTCCGTTCTTAAACTCTAAGGTCACACAAACATTTACTAAGCAGTAACTGGGCTAAGAAGGGACCATGACTGAGCAACAAACACACAGATACTGAGGCCATACTCTGTCACACTTTGCTCTGACAGGAAAAGAAGATGGCATCTGTTCAAGTCCACACACAGCCTCTTGGGAATATCAGCAAATGCTTAATAGAAAAACCAAGAAAAACATTTTGAAGACCAGCAAAATGTGGTTCCTGCCTTTACAGAGAGTACATTTTCTGGGAGAATTGGGGTGTCTACCAAATACATTGGTTTGGAAGCCCAAAATGGATTATGATTTTCATAATCTGTTTCTGTCTGAAACAATGCCAGAATGATAACACGACCCAGAAGTTTAATCTGCCCACAGTTTCATGTCTCTCAGCTAAGCTTAAGTACAAGTGTAGTAACAGAAGCACATTCCCCCAGACTTTACTCATTCTCTAAAGATGGATATGAATCATGTCTACTCTCTTCTTCTCCTTGTCAACACAACAGTTTTGTGTATTTTAACAGTTGGCTGGTTTTGGTTTGTTTTTTTTTTGACACAACCGTTTTAAAACAACTTTCTTTGAAAATTTTCTGGGATTGATGTTACACAAAGTAATCATTTTAGAGAAATACTTTCCTGTGGGCATAGTAAAGCTAATCAGTTTGCCTCTTTCTTCCCCCAGGAGTTTTTGCCAACCTCCTAGCAGTATTCAGATTGCAGAATAGCTTAGCTCCCAAAAGCATGTACATCATGTCACCACAAGGGAATGACCTTTTGCATTTTTCTCCCCCCCCCCTTTTTTTTTAAGATTTTATTTATTTATTTGAAAGAGAGGCAGTGAGAGAGAGCATGAGCAAGGAGAAGGTCAGAAGGAGAAGCAGACTCCCCGTGGAGCTGGGAGCCTGACGCAGGACTCGATCCCGGGATTCCGGGATCATGACCTAAGCTGAAAGCAGTCGTCCAACCAACTGAGCCACACAGGCGTCCCTCCTTCTTTTTCTTTTTTTTTTTTTTTTAAAGATCATTGGCACCACGTTGATCAGTGGATGATTTCTAAGCTTTTCATTCTGATGCTCCCCTTATCGCTGGTGCCCAAGGACTGGGTATTTAGTGGGGGAGGGTATGCCGAAATATTGAGGGGGTGGGTGGGAAAAAAAAAGAAACGGATAAATACCAAATGTTGGTGGAGGCTACCACCAAAGAAAGAACTGGGGATTAGATGGGGCAGAGAGGTGAAATGGTGATAAAGAGGTCTATCTTCCAAACTGTATATTTTCATTTTATTTGAGTTTCTATTAGTAACAAGAATATATGGATTTATTTCCTGCATCACTAAGAAAAAGTTGACAGAGTTGACAGTGACACACAGAAAGCATTATATGGTTGATACGTTATATTGACAGACCATTTGGATAGCCTTTAACAAAATAATCTCCCAAACATCTAGACTTTTTTTTTTTTAAAGTAGTCTCCAACGCAAGGCTCAAACTCACAACCCTGAGACCAAGACCAGAGCTGAGATCAAGAGTCATATGCTTAAGTGACTGAGCCACCCATACGCCCCCCAGACATTTTCTAATGGCTCTCTGAAGATTCCTTTACATAGCCATCTTAAATAAGAACACAAAGTTGTTTTCACATTTCTCCTTGCATCACCAAACCCTTTGGCCACTTATAAGCCACTGGCTATTAACTTTCCTACCCCAGGCTAAGGAAGTCACAGGACACCAGCTCTCCCAGGATTTCTCTTCTCTAGAAGACAAGATAGATACACCCAATCTCAGTGACTGTCAACTGAAACTGCTATCTCCTACCCTTTTCTCAGTCCTATCCCTATAATTCAAAGTGTCTTGCCCTATTTGCCTGAGATGATCTGAGATGAGAGAGCCTTAAAATAAGACACTAAGTGCCTGTCCTTCGCCAGTAGTCTGACATTTACTGCTAAGCTTCTAGTCCTTATTCTCTGAACTTCGGACATGACTTCTCTACTTCACACTTGTTTGAGTGGCTCTTCCCTTGAGTCAAGTTCGCCTGGTGTCAAGTTCGCCTTGAGTCTCTAGCTCGCCTGGTGAGGATTCCTCCCTGCGAGTGCTCCACTGTAGCTCTACAGGCAGACTCCACTCGCAGTGCATCTGAAATCACTAGAAAGTGTCACTAGTAATAACTGAAAGCTGTCCTTAAAATCATACCTCTGATTGGCTCCCAACTATAGTCTGAGCTAGTTCTGTGCCCTCATGGGGTCTCCGCTATCTCCCCCTCCATCTGGCAACCCATTTAGAATCTGGGCCTTTCTCGGAGCACATTTTGTTACATTCCCAGTATTACAATACAATCATGTCATCTCCCTTTGCCCTGAAATAAATGAGGGAAAAGAATCATATTTTCCCCTAGAACCAACCCATCACTAAAATGCAGAAGGCTGGACCATTCTTGGCTTCCACACAAGTTAGAGCTCCTCAATGGTTATTAAAGTCTTCTCTCAGACCATGAGGAAAGACAAGAAGAGCTTGGGACTTTTGGCGGTAGTTTCCTAAACTATATGTCCTCAGGGGAGTCAACGACCTTGGCAAAGACTCAGGAGGGCTGCTGGTTCTCTCCCAGCTGTGAGGAGGGGCTTTTCTTAAAACAAGAAAGGGTAGGACAGCTGACACTGTGTCAGGGGGAAGCCTGCCTCATGAGCCAACCCAGAGGTGGCCTTTGAAGAAAGATATTCCCTCTTTAACAAATAAGAATTGGGCATGCATGCTGATGGATTATCCAACACCCTCATTTACTCCTCACAAAGCATTATTATTCCATTTCATGGATAAGAAAACTGATCTTCAGCAAGGCTAAGCAACTTGACAACCTAGTCAGTGAGAGACCTGGGATTTGAACACAGGTCTTCCCTCAAACTACCCTTCAAAGTCTCTTCTTTAATTGCCTATTAAGAAATAATGACGATCCTTTCCCACCCATTATTGTGTGTTCATTCCTGTGTGGAGGTTATGGGTATCTTGTATTCTGATACAGTTATCCCTCTCAGGCTATAATCTGCAAATGTAAGGCAAGATCCGCCTGTGACACAGGGAGCTAGGTCCTCTATGAAGGGTAGGCGTTCCAAGGTCACTCATTCAGGAAAGATGCCAAGACCTGCAAGGTTAGGAAGAGGAAAGGGATCATCTCTGAGCTCGAGAACACCTATAAGACTGCGAACTCCCATTTGCTAGTGGGTGTAAATGACGGCCTACCCTGTGCGAAAAAGACTAAAATCCCAGACAGGTTTCCCAGGGTCTGAAATTGACAGGTTAAAACCCTAATGCCCTTGAGATCAAGCTTTTACTTTGTGAAAGCAAATTATTTGGATTCATAATACTTCAAATTTTCTCCCCCACTGCTGACTGTTCTTTCTTTCGTCTCCTTCTAAAGCTCCTTTTCCTGGACATGTTCCCTAAATGAGAGCCTTTCTCAGGGTTCCATCTGGTTCCTCTTCTCACTTTCTCTGAGTGATTTCATCTACTCCACTAACATCGGTAACTGACAACTTTATAGTGAAGGTTCAATTCTTTCTGCAGACTTATAAGATTATACATCTGCCTACTGGACACCTTCCCTTGGCCATCCTACAGACAACCTCAAACTCAGTATGTCCAACACTGAATTCATTCCGCTTTAACCTGTACTCCCTACTACTCCTCCCTCTCAGCAAATGGGCACTGCCACCCACCAGTGGCCAAGCTGCAAAATAGTGTCATCCCTGATTTCTCTATCACCTGTGGCCCTTGAAGCCCACTGACACTTAATCCTTAAATACATCTCGAGTTTGTCTACTTCCCTCTCTTCCCATTGCCACCTTCTCGATTTTATCTACCATCACCTGTCAACACAATGTCTGCAGCTGCTTCTTACCTGATTTCCTGCCTCTGGCCTTGTTTCCCTCCAAACTAACTTCCACCCTGCAGCCAGAGTCTTTTTTTCTAAGATGCAGTTCCAAACCCAGTTTAGCTCTCTGTTTAAAACCTTTCAGTGGTGGGGCACCTGAGTGGCTCAGTTAAGCATCTGACTCTTGACTAGGCCCAGGTCATGATCTCAGGGTCCTGGGATCGAGCCCCATGTCAGACTCCATACTCAGTGGGAAGTTCCTTTTTCTTTTCTTTTGTAAGATTTTATTTATTTATTTGACAGAAAGAGAGATCACAAGTAGGCAGAGCAGCAAGCAGATGGGTTGGGGGGAAGCAGGCTCCCTGCTGAGCAGAGAGCCTGACATGGGACTTGATCCAGAACCCTGAGATCATGACCTGAGCCAAAGGCAGAGGCCCAACCCACTTAGCCACCCAGGCACCCCTCAGTGGGG